AAATTTCTGTAATTCAACCTGTTATTTTACGGATTATTTCCGCCACCCCAGCTGCCGGAGATGAACCTTAATATTATGTTTTTGTGTGTGTGTGTGTGTGTGTGTGTGTACACAAAATAATTCTTTCATTTTAGTGTTTACGAAAAAAAAAAAGTAAAATAATGGCCATTAAATTACAGAAATTTACTGTAAAAAACACAGAGGTTGAATTACAGTAATTTACCAGACATTTTAATTTAAGGAAATTTCTGTAATTTAATTCCTGTTATTTTATGGTAAATTGCTATAATTTAATGTTCATTATTTTACTATAAAATTGTTATTGTTATTTTTAATAACACTAAAATAACTTAAATAACACTCACTTTTTTTCTGTAATTTAACAGCCATTATTTAACTTTTTTTTTCAGCACCCCCAACTGCCAGACATAATCTGTAAAATTACGGATTTTTTTTTTTTTACAGTGTAGATAAGAGACCACATAGAAAAGCTAGGTTGGTGCTGGAAGTGGTGTTAGTGAGGCCAGCAAGGGGCACTTAACCTGTGGTCTGTGTGGGTCCTATCACCCCAGTAGAGGTCTGCATTTTTTTGGGAGTGGCAGGATCCGACCAAATATCAACAAATATCAGAATAATAAGTGGTAGCGGTCTGTAACTTTGGTGTAATTTGAACGGGAGAGGGTGGCCTAAAAATAGCGTTCCCGAGAGAGAGGGAGAATAAGTGACAGAGAAAGACAGCGCTCATCCACCATGGTGCTGTGTGTTGTTTGCTATAGGCTGCCTGGACTATGTAGCATACAATTGGGTGTTATTTGGAAGGCATATTTAATCGCTATACACTTTACATTCTTCCTTGGCCCAATATGTACCTGCTATGTGTATAGAAATAATGCTGTTATGATATATGAAACATGATAGTTGGCAGACATATTGAGTGGATATGTTTGTAAATCTGACTTTGAAAGAGTCCATCAGCCACAAACCTCAACGCACGTCAGGCGGCACTCATGTCACATTACAAAGGGGCAAACAAAAGTGACATTCAGTCTACAATCCTCCCACAACCTACACTTTTATCTGTTATCTCTCTCTTTTGGTAGTGCTCAATTTTAACTTAAGATTTTGGAAACCAGATCTTAATTTAGCGGGAACAGTCGGGTCGGGTAGAAAACGGGGCGGCTCAAGCAGCGGGTGAACAAAGGCTAAATATACAGCGGGAGCGGTTTGGAGCGGAATAAAACCTCGCGGAAGCGGGACTAGAAATTTAGGCCCGCACAGATCTCTATACTGCTTAGTGAGCGCCGTCTTTCAGATGAGACGTTAAACTGAGGTCCTGACTCTCTGTGGTCATTAAAACTCCCAGGATCCCGGCATCCTGGCCAAATTTGAATGGATGAGTTATTATATGATTTTCCTAATTACTATTTCCTAATTAAGCTTGTTAAGCCTTAAATAGCACTTTAAGCTGAATACTAGTATCTTGAAAAATATTGAAATATTTCCCCAATGACGTTTAATAAGGCAAGGAATTTTTTCTTGTGTGTTTTTATTTTGTTTGACTGTATGCTGTATCCAGTCTTGTTATTGTTCTTTTACTAGTACTTATAGTGTAAATATATAACCTTAATTTGAAGAGTGGTGTGTGTCTGTGTGTGTGTTTTGTAGCCAACATGTGCTGGGATGCCTGAGATTTTGGCGTGTCCCATGAATCTTGCTCCTGTTTGTGGCAGTGATGGAAACACCTACAGCAATGAGTGCTTGCTGTGTGTGGAAAGACTGTAGGTCACCTACACTGCATATATGAGCATACATGTCTGTACTAGGGGTGTCCAAACTTGGTCCAGCTGAGTTTAGCTCACCCTTGCAGGTGTGTTGAGGCAAGCTGGTTTCTAGAAAGCCGAGTAGGAGCTTGATTAGCTAGCCTGGGTGTCTGATTGGGGTTGGAACTAAACTTTGCAGGACACCAGCCCTCCAGGATGAGTTTGGGCACCCCTGATCTATACAGAATATTAAATAACAGCATTTTTGTGTCTGTTTCAGGAAAACCAAATCAGACATTTTAATCGCAAAAGATGGGGACTGCTGAGCTGTCCTGGGAATCTCATGACCGTGAAGATTTATGGCTATTAAAGTATCTGAAATGAAACATCCTTACTTTGTTTGTTATTGGCCTTAAAGGGAGAGTTCACCCAAAAATTAAGTGTACTCTCCCTCATGTGGTTCCAAACCACGAGTTTCTTTCTTCTGTTAAACACTAAAGAATATAATTTTGAAGAAAGCTGAAAACCTGTAACCATTGACTTCCATTGTAGGAAAAAAATACTATGGAAGTCAATGGTTACAGGTTTCTGACATTCTTCGAAATATCTGCTGTTGTGATCAACAGAAGAACGAAACTGTAACCATTGACTTCCATTGTAGAAAAAAAATATGGAAGTCCTGAAAACCTGTACCCATTGACTTCTATTGTAGGAAGAAAATACAATGGAAGTCGATGGTTAAAGGTTTCTTACATTCTTCAAAATATCTGCTTTTGGGATCAACAGAACGAAGAGACTTCTAACCATTGACTTTCTTTTGTAGAAAAAAAGACTATGAAGGTCCTGAAAAAACGTAACCATTGACCTCCATTGTAGAAAAAAAAATACTATAGAAGTCCTGAAAACCTGTAACCATTGACTTTCTTTGTAGAAAAAAATACTATGGAAGGGTTACAGGTTTGTAACATTCTTCAAATTATCTGCTTTTGGCATCAACAGAAGAAACTGTGACCATTGACATCCATTGTAGTAAAAAATGCAATGAAAGTCAATGGTTACAGGTTTCTGACATTCTTCAAAATATCTGCTTCTGTGTTTAACAGAAGAAAGAAGCTCATAAAGGTTTTAACCAGTAAATGATGACACAATTTTCAATTTTGGGTGAACTGTCCCCTTAAACATAGGGTCATTTTAGTATCAATTATGTATTTTTAGTCTTTATAATCTATATTTTTTACTTTATCTGTAGTTTTTAGTTATAATAAATGACTTTTTTGTTGTTAAGTTCACAATAATGACCCTGATCACTGCTAAAATGATATAATTCTGAGGCATATCACATTAAAACACACACAATTTTAGGGGCACAATTTATTAAACACAACAAAATAAGTTTTATTGCATTTTAGCATTTAATAATTAGTCAAACTTTTTTCATTTAAACCATAAAAGCTCCAATGTGAAAAGGAAAATTGTCAAGGGGGAAATATCCTCATGAGAGGATGGCTACCTGTGCAAAACATCTCTTTGGATAAAACAAATTTTAGTGTTAAGTTGGTTTCTATTTACTTTGAATGGTTGAATTGAAATATTTTGCCAGCATATTAGTCTCGTCACTGCATATTTTCCTGTGTTTATTCACATTATTTCCACAACAAGGAAAAAAAGAGAGGCCAATATTGTACTTTGATGTAGAGAAGTTTGATAACCAGAGTGACAAGTAGGCTTCTCTATTTTTAGAAAGCAATCTAGCATAAGATTCACTCATTATAAAGTTCTCCTCAAACGAAATCTTTACCCGAAAGTTCAGTGACCGGCCTGATTCTGACAAAAACCAGCACAACAAGACCTGAAACTGCTTCTGTTTACAAAATGCCGTATTTTTAGCACTTATTTAAACTTATAAGACCCAAACTGAGTTTGATGGGACACTGAATATGTTTATTCATATTCAATATTTGCCTGCCCTCATTCACATTTCTTGTTCCTTATCGCACCCTGCGATCTTCTTCCTCCCTCCACTTGTCTTTCGTCTATGGGCAACAGAGCATTTAGCCGCTTTGCTCCAGAACAAAATTTCCTGATAATTAACTCACGTGAGAGGTTAATTTCTCTTTCTTCAGTCAAAAGACATTAGAAAATAAGCAAAACATTTCACTGTTTTTCTCCATATAGTAGACTTGAAGTGTTGCAGTTTTTAAAGCCTTAAAATCTGTCATTTTCAGAATATAATTGATCATTTGTAAGTTTTATAACAAAAAAAAAAGTCTTGCAATTGTTTTAAGTGTGTACAGGAAATGACATTGGAGTAAGTAAACATAAAATTTTCATTCGGGAAGAGAACTAATCATTTAACAATCCAGGGTTTTATTAGTGTTGAAGACATTATTGGTAAGAGACAAGCTGTGGAGACATTTTAATAAAAAGAAAAACTCCTTGACATGTTGAGAGACTGTTGAGTGTAGTTCATGGCTGAGTTCCAGAAAACCAGTAATGGGCTGTTTAACAGTTACAGATAAAAAAAAAAAAAGGTGGGAAAATGGAACTCCACTAACACAAAGAAGCAGTTCCGCATAAATGAATGATTAGGTTATAAACAGATTTGTGACCATGTGTAAAATAGATTTTTTTTAATAGATATCTAAAAAAAATAACTAAAATATACCCTAATTTGTTTAAATCATTACTTTTATTCAATATTTTATGAGTACATGAGAGTCTAACTACTGATATCTTTCCATTTGAAATAATGCTTGCTTTTTCATAGACAAATAATTTTCTTTTTCGATTTCAAGAAAAAGAAAAACTCACTGACATGTTGAGAGTGTTGATTGTGTGTAGTAAATGGCGGAGCACAAGAAAACACAGGAATGAGCTTCTTTAACAGTTACAAATTTAAAAAAACAAAAAGGCGGGAAAATCGAACTTTACTCACACAAAGCAGTTTAGCATAAAAGGACGACAGGGTTATAAAAAGAAGCGTAACCCTTGGTAAAATAGATATTTTTCATATATATATATATATATATATATATATATATATATATATATATATATATATATATATATATATATATATATATATATTTTTAAAAAAATAACTAAATCATGTTTGTAATTTGTCAATACTTTTATTTAATAACAATATTTTATATAACTCTCAACATCTCATTTGAAATGCTGCAAGCCTTTTAATTAATTTTCATAGATGCATACAGTGGAGAAAAAAACAGCCTGAAATAATTCTTCCTTTATTTATTGACATACAGCCATGATATTTGTAACAAACAATAGGTTTCACTGATCTGGGGCTTGTACCATGAAGCCGGATTAGCTCGCTAGCGAGTTAAGTTTCAGTTTAGTTTGCTCTTATCTTAGATACCATGAAGGTAGATCAGCTTAGTTCAACTGCTCCATAATACCATGACAACAAAAAGTGATTAAGCTGCTTTGATGTTATCTAAAACCTAAGATTTGTGCAAACTAAACTGAAACCTAACTGGCTAGCCTGTTAATCTGGCTTCATGGAACAGACCCATGGTGTGAAATAAAGGCATACACAACTCAACCTCCACCAATCCAATAGATTTTCTTTAAAAACATAATAAAAATAACTTTATAAAAGTTTCAGTACCATTTGATATTAAAATTATTCTACCATCAGTGTAACCGAAATTCTCAAGCTCAACCCAAGGATACATATTGTCAGCGTTTTTAGAGTTTTGTTTGGAGTGTTCTGACACACTGCAAATGCTTTTCTAGTTGGATTTTTATTAACTATTTTTTTCTTGTTTTAGAAATAATGTGCTAAAAGTAAACAAGTTTTTATTTAAAACAGGCTAAATAATCTGCCAATGGGATAAGCAAAATAATCTTGTTCTTACTTTTGACATACGATTATTTAGCTTATCCCATTGGCAGATTATTTTGCTTTTCTTTTTAAGGAAAACATTCTTAATTTTAGCATATCATTTCTTAAAACAAGACATTATCTTTTGCTTGTCTAGAAAATGCTTCTAGGTTTAATCATTTTTAGATATTTAGACTAGAAACAAGACAAAATATCTAAGTAAGAAAAGCATTTTTGCAGTGTATAAGGCTATATACTATAAAGAAAATATTCTTGACAAAACCTTGCAATTGCGTATTATAAAGTCAGAATTGTGAGATTAAGGGCCGTATCATACACCCAGCGCAATAAAGCGCAAGACGTGTTTGTCACGATTTGTTGCTATTTTCAGGGCAGCTCAACCCTAATTTTCATGCTTTGCTTCACATTGTTTAAATGGCAAATCCGTTTGCGCCACTTTGTGGACTGTGTGCCGGTCTAGTAAGGAGGTGTGTTAAGGTGTATTGTTGGTACGTTACTATTTTAAGGAACTGAATTTGACTGCACCACTGACCAACTGAAGGCTGGTCTTAAGTCCAGCGCAGAGCACGTTGTTGTTGTGCACCTATGCAGGTCCAAAACGCTTACACATTGCTTAATACACACAGGATATACAGCAATACACAAATATCTTTACATATGAAAACATTTAAGGATTAAAATGTTATATGTAATATATGTAATATATTTGTTTTAATAAAAACAAGTTTTGATTTGTCCACCTGTCAGATTTTACAGACCATATGCGTCACCACATGGGGCATAAGAATAGGACGTGTGTTTAAATATAACTCAGTTTTTGACCAAACTTCGTTATCATTGTTCATTTATTCATTTGCTGGAAATTAGAGCTGAATTTTAAAATAGTTTTGAAACAAATCTTTGTGGATGTCTTCAGTGGAGTGCGTACAACATCGTTTCCTTACCCACAAAAGTAAAGGAGTAAAGAGTAAAGGTAAAGTAAAGAGAAAGTAAAGAGGCAGAATAGAGGAGGCTCATTCTTTATCCTCGCGCTGCAGATGGTCTGTTTAACTGTTTTCCTAATAGTAAAGTGTTCAGTTTCTCCTCTTTCAAAGTCTGCCATGGATATAAAAAGTAAATGCGCCATGGTGCGACACAACTGATTGTTAAAGGCAATGGGAAATGAGACTCTGATTGGTTTAATGCATGTTATGCTCAAAACACACCCATAACTCATTAAGAGAATAAGCACAACCCTGTTAGACCATGCGCTAGGGCTCAAAGCATATTTTTCCATCCTAAAAATAGCAAAAGGGACACACTCTTAATGCTTTTGCGCCATGCTCTTTAGACTTTTTGCTTAGATTGTTAAAATAGAGCCCAAACACTTGCAACTCTGACATTGTTTCAAATTTGTAAACAAACTGAAAAATGTCAGAATTTCGAGTATATATCCCACGTACAAGTTAGGATTGTGAAATATAATTGCATCTCCATAAAAATAGTCGATAATCCCTTAGAGTTGAGCAGTTATGAGTAGGCCCACACGGAATCTGCGCGCGCAGAATTCTGCAGATTTTTAGCCCATCATTAATTCTGTTTATTTACTTGAGTAAATGTGGGTAAATCTAAATTTATTTAATTTGTTTAACTAATTTCAGTAGTATTATTGACTAATATGAAAATCTATTATATAGAAGACTTGCTTTGTTCACCAAATAAAGTGAATCTAATTAGATTTGAAATTTAAACATTAAATAGAAGTTAAAATATATATTACTTTTTATTTCACATATTGAGGTTTTAGTTATTATACTCCCAAAATTATTCCACAGAAATCCACAGATTTATATCAAAATTCTCAGCAGAAACAGCAAAAAACGTCCGCAGATTCCGTTTGGCCCTGGTTACGAGTTGTAGTCACATTTGGATCATTTTGGCTCATCGAGGCTTACTCGATTCATTCAAAAAGCACATTCATTCAGGAACAAAACTCTTATGTCTCAATTATAATTCGCTCAACAACATCACCTTCTTTTTATGAACTTGATTCAAAATGAGTGCAATCTCACATTATAATAATCAGGAAAACAGAACTCTGGTGTGAAATAATATCATATCCTATAAATATATAAAAACCCATACAGGGTTACTTTTGGTTTCATAAGATGAATTATAGGCACACTGTAATTGGAGTCTGATTACAAACTGAATGCTTATAATCAGGTTTTTGCACTCCTCTATGTGCAAGTTTGTATTAACGGCTGAATTTGTGCAGTTTTCACAGTGTGCAATTGCTCCCTGAGGCACGCTATTCACCGGCTGCTTTGCCTGAAAGGTTTACAAAACGTACGTTCAGCATCATTAAAGTCACAATCGACATGCTTATGAGGCACAAAGGTGAGCAAATCCACAGGAATGTCTGCAATCCTAAATCCTTCTGCTTGGAATGTCTTTCAGGACAATGAGATTTTCAGTCAAGCTCAGTTTTTCATCAGCTGTTGAGCGCTAAATCTGTCTTTGGAGCTCTAGAGGTTTCACGGTTTGCCGATGTCCACTCTGATTTTGGTGTAGAGGAGGTCTTTCTCTATATTTACCACTTTGTACTTGAGCGATCGGATGCCGTCCGTGTTTATTGTCTGTCGTGTGTGAGCATTTCTATTAAATCTATGGAACAGAGAAGCAGCTTTAGTTTTTCATTCTGTCTTGCCTGTGTTTGTATAATTGTGTGCCTGTGTATGTGTGTGTGTTTGTGGTCGTGGTATTCACAAATTTGTGGGGATCAAATGTCATTTATAATTTTTTTGGCAGAAAAACGGCTCATAAATAATTCAAAATCAAGTATTTTGTAATAAAATGAGGGTTGTGTTTAGGGTTGGAGAAACATCATTATGTCTTTGTGAAGTCTGCCTGTGTGTTTGTGTGTGTGTGTGTGTGTGTGTGTGCATGTATACAGCATGTGCATGAGTGTAAGGGTGGGTGTGTCTGAAATAGTACCTCTGTGGGTTTTCCTCGTTTTTCCTGTCTCTCCCGTGACGAATCATTTTGCACTTCCCAATCTCTGCGCTTGGTCTTGATATCCTCATACCTCGAATTGAAAGCCTTCAAAATAAACAACCCGTATTGAAATGGTTATATAACAAGCCTTTTAAGTGATTGTCTAAGTGATAAGACAGAATGTGGGTTTCTGCGGGTTTCACATTTAAATTGAAGACTTTTTAAGACCCTTTTAAGGTCATTAGGAATAGAATGTTTCCATTTTTCTCAGAAAACATATTTCTAATGGTGTCGTTGGCTTAAATTTTTCCACGGATGTTGGTAACAACCAAAGAAAGCCTTATATGCAAACAAAACAAATCTAATTGGTTTACAAATAAAGTGAGGGGTAATAAATTAAAATGACACAGGAAAGAAGTATTGAACACATGAAGAAAGGAAGGTAGTGAAAGCCCAGACAGCAGCTGAAATCTCTCAGTAGATCTTCAGCAACCCTCTGCCCTTCGTCATTGTAACTAAATATTAGCTGCTTCTTCACTGAAACCCTGCACATTGCAGATTTTCCTCACCTGTTGAAAATGTCATCATCTTCTCCTCCCCAGCCCCAGTAGTTATTGGGAAAGCCATTGATCTTCTCATACTGCTTTTTGCTCATCGCTGAAACTCCCCCAAAATACTGTTTATATGGCAATCTGTGATAAAAAATACATTTAAAACTTGAAAATAGGGATCAATACAGTAGATTACACAGACTGAAAGAAAACAGATACACATTAGGTGCTAATTTATGCTTATCTTCGCCATTATTTTATTGGTCACACAATACGGTATGATAGTCGTTGGGATAATCAGGTAAAAATAAATGCATATGAAAGTGTTTTTTGACCTTGCATGCATATCAGCTTGTTGTTGGAGACCCCCAAAACCAAAATATGACATTTTAAATGCATAATAGGGGCTCTTTAAACCACACTGTTTGAAAGCAAACAGCCCTGGTATTATTAACATAAAACCTTACACTGTAAAAAATGCTAAACTACACATAATCGATTTGTGTTTGGACAATATGAAGAAATGAAGTTAACATGTTTTTTACAAATTTAAGTGGTTTTAACATAAAACATTTAAGTTGCCCACCAACACCAACAAACAGTCTACATTTTATGTCAATTTAAGTGGGTTTCCAGGCAACTTTCTAGTAAATTCAACTAGTTTAGGTTAATAGTGTACGCAAGTTTTATATATAATATAGTTCTTAATAGAAATCTACTTTTAAAAACTTTTTTTTTCCTAAAAACTTGGATTTTTTTTATTATTCTAATGCCAATTTGCCCCTCAAATTGATACATAACAAATATTTGGCTCAATCGCCAGCCATGTTAACAATGCTGGAGATTCATTTCAGTCTCCCGCAGAACTAGAGCTCCTAGAACTCTTTGCACCCATCAACTCCTGACAATGATCCGGACACACACACACACACACAGACACAGCTGTAGCTGGTTGTCACTCATTACATGGACTGCATATATACACTTCACTTCATCATTCACATTGCTTGGTCTTGTTTACCTGTAGCATTACGAAGCATTTTCCTTGTCTTGTTTGTTCTGGTCCATGTTTCCAGATCTTTGTTTTGTTTATTCATTTTTGCTGTTAGCCACCTGGACCAATCTCTTTGCCTTTAAATTGACTACTCTATTGGATTTCCCTACGTGTACCTGTTTGCCCCTAAAATTGACCATTGCCTGACTGACTACTACAATACTGAAATGATTTCTGCTCAACGATCTTGGTAGAAACAGGATTTATTTTTCCGGATTCATTTTTAATTAGTTTGGAATACCTTTTTTTAAATCCTGAAATGTGTTTTAGGTTTATTTAAATTATATTTAATTTGTACACCCTCAGAAACTAAAGTGCACAAGCTCACGCTGGGGCAGCGCCTCTTCAAAAGTTAAACTACTGTACAGTTTGGGAAACAACATGTACTGTACGTTTAAGGTATCACTACGGGTATTGCCCCAGTGACAGCCCATGTCCAGTGTGTACAATCAACAATCCAGCTTTATTTAATATGACACATCTGCTACTTTAAACACAAGGGCTTCAAAGATATCCTGTTTCCAGCTTACAGTTATGATCCTAATACTAATGCGCTGCTAATATGAGCTGACGTGGCCTGAATAATTTATTAATAAAACTATTTTCCATTATGAAAATTATTTTCATATTATATGCTACAGAAATCTATTTTGACTTGACTTGTATTATAAAGAAAACAATTTAGCGGTGAAATCAGTACACAGAAATGTTTTGTGAGGAGAGTGTAAAAACTGCATTCTTTAGTCAATGAACCGTATTCATGAAAACTAAACTGAACCACATGAAGACCTGTTCGACAACACCTGATATTCAGTTGAGGATTTGCATTATGTTATCATAGACTAAGCCTGTCTTAGTGTTTGTTGCAGATTTGTTTGAGCTTGACACGATTGATTTCAGCAAAAGAGGTGAAAAAGCTATATCGTGTGGTAGATTACAGATTTTGAAGATAAACATTATGTTGCAGGGCGACACGGTGGCTCAGTGGTTAGCACTGTCACCTCACAGCAAAAAGGTCGCTGGTTCGAGTCTCTGCTGGGTCAGTTGGCATTTTGTGTGTGGAGTTTGCATGTTCTTCACGTGTTTGCGTGAGTTTCCTCCGGGTGCTTGGGTTTCTCCCACAGTGTGTAGGAATGTTTCATCTGATGTATATAACATAAGCTGGATAAGTTGGCGGTTCATTCAGCTGTGGCAACCCCTGATGAATAAGGGGGACTAAGCTAAAGGAAAATGAATGAATATTATGTTGCATATCATGCTGATGTTTATAAAACATCTGAAATTCATCTGACTGAATATCAAGTTCAAGTTCTATTTATTTATATAGCACGTTTCCAACTGCCACAGGGCTGCACAAAGTGCTTTACAGAGAGAAAATAAACACATGATATGAGCATAAAACAGTAAAAACACCAATAAGCACATAATAGGAAGGAACATAGAAAAATTATCAATAAAAGAGCAAAAAAAAAAAATAGTAATAATAATAAAAAAATATTTTTTCCTAATTAAAAGATACTACCACAGTTGACCAACACTAAACACGATAGAGAACATGACCGTTTTGATCTCCCTACCCACTCCGAACACCCCCCCCCCTCCTTCTGAAAGGGAAGGACTTATGCTTCAAAAAGACCTACAAAATAAATGCGTCTTTAATTTGGACTTAAAACAAGGCAGCGACGAAGCCTTTTTTAGCTCTAATGGCAGAGAGTTCCAGAGGCGAGGACCTGCTATGGCAAAAGCACATTCGTCCCTACTTTTGAGGTGGGCCTTTGGAACTATTAATAAAAAGTGATCAGCGGAACGCAAGAGTCTTTGAGGAGTGTAGTTAATATATTCTGTGTATATATAAAGTACATATTCAGGTAATGTATCTTGTTTTATGAATGTTGAGATATTCGTACTGGGCTCAAGACAAAAATATTAAGGAAGACATTTACTTTTTGCAGTATGTGGAACATTTAACACCAAGAGTCAAAGCTTTATGAATTTAAGACTTTTTTGCTCCGATTTAAGAGCTTTTTAAGGCCTTGAATTGGGCAAATTATAACTTTTAAAGCTCCGGTGAAATGCTTTGAAATGTGCATTTTTATTCAATGTTTGACGTAATCTCAACCAATATTATTACAATTAAAAATACATGTTTTTATATGTTTTTAAATATTTTTATATTTATTCCTGTTGTTAGCGACCACTTCACATTACAACATGAAGTGCGGATCCAAATGCAGGTTTATTAGCAGGATGGTTAGGCAAGCAACAGACAACACAGGAGCAAACAGATGTGCACAGGAAATTGTAAATGTAAAGGATTCATAGTCAAATAACAGGTTGATGGTCAGTAAAGGCAGGCAGCAGACAACGTAAAACAAACAAAAGTTTCAAAAACGGAAAGGAAGGCAAGGGAAAATGCGTCGCAATGTTCATAACAGTATAACAAGACTCAGCCCAGATGTGTGTGTGAGAGTGGCCAATAAATAGTCCATGAATCAGTCCGAAAGCAGCATCAGCTGAGTGAGTGTTTGCAATCAATGGAGACTTGGAGCAGGTGTGTGTGTGTGTTGCATGACTGGATCTGTAGTTCATTGTGAAGCAGGATTGTAGTTCGTGTGAATAAGAATGTTCTCCAGCGATCTATGATGGTTAGATCGCTGGTGATTACGACACATGTGATGGTAAAACAGAATTGTGTGTATTTCTGTGGAAACTACATTGTATTTCCTTGAACGAAAACAGTATTTATAATAACAATCTTTTTTTAACATTGGATTTGTCTCTATTGAAATTTGATTGTAATTGATTGCTTCCTTCTGAGCATTTTACTCAACCAAATCAGCATATTTGCATATTTTAATGCGGCCTTTTATTGTGCCATTTCATCTTTGTGAGGCTTTGCATCCTGATCACAGGTCCTAAAGGGATAGTTCATCCAAAAAGTCTGTCATCATTTACTCACCCTTGTTTCAAGCCTTTATGAGTTTCATTCCTCTGTTGAACACAAAAGTAGATATTTTGAAGAATGATGAAAACCTGTACCCATTGACTTCTATAGATCATAGATATTCCATAAAAAAGTTATATATATAAAAGTTATGTATATATATATATACACACAATTGAAGTCAGAATTAAAAGCCACCTTTGAATTTTTTTTTATTTTTTAAATATTTCCCAAATCATGTTTAACAGAGCAAGACAATTTTCACAGTATGTCTGATAACATTTTTTTCTTCTAAAGAAAGTCTTATTTGCTTTATTTCGGCAAGAATAAAAGCTGTTTTATTTTTTTTAAATCCAGTTATATTATTATTAGTCAATATTATTAGGCCCTTCAAGCTATTTTTTTCAATAGTCTACAAAACAAACCATCGTTATACAATAACTTCCCTAATTACCCTAACCTGCTTAGTTAACCTAATTACCTTAGTTAAGCCTTTAAATGTCTCATCAAGCTGTATAAAAATGTCATGAAAAATATCTAGTCAAGCAATATTTAATGTCAACATGACAAAGATAAAATAAATCTGTTATTAGAAATGAGTTATTAAAACTAGTATGATTAGAAATGTGTTGAAGAAATCTTCTCTCCGTAGAACAGAAATTGGGGAAAAAAATAAACAGGCTGGCTAATAATTCTGACTTCAACTGTATATATATATATATATATATATATATATATATATATATATATATATATATATATATATATATATATATAGTACTTTATTTAGAGTATATAGTTAGTACTATAAAGGTTTATAACCACTTGAGGATGAGTAAACAGTGAGTAAATCTCCATTTGTGGGTGAATTATCCCTTTAATGGTGGCAATGTTTCATCAATTATTTTCTTGTTTCTATCTCTTCTGTTTAACCCTGGCATTTTTATGATTCTTGTTTGATTTCTTGTTTAGCCTTTGAGAATAAGTTATTATTCTAGTGCACTATAATCAAAATAGCAGCACCAGCCGCCCACATCTACAATCTCCTTGATCTGACTGTTTACTTTGGCTCAGGTCACAACAGGTAAATTCATACTCTGAATGCAGAATTTACACAGTCACAATGCAACCAATGACCCAGGAACAACGATCATGTAAGCGAATTAAGCATGATCCATCTCTCTACTGACACAACAGGATATTCAATATGCTTGATCCTTGATTTTTCTCCTTTATTTGTTTACAGTAGGTAAATATACTTTGACTGAACAAATCAATCAAAACGACGTTCAGATGCTGGTGTCAAATATCATGTTAGACATGTTGCTACTGTAAGTTTATGGGTAGAGCTTTGTCTTACCACAGCAGGTACAGGACGTCAACATGAACTCAGATTGACGTTGCACTCTAACATCATGGGGACGTCGCATTTCATTTGGAAATGAAAATGACGGGTTGACATCAGAACCAAACATCAGGTCGATGTCAATGTTCAATGTCCAACCTAAAATCAACCAAATATCAACGTCTAATGATGTTACAGCTTGACATTGTGTGGATGTTACCACTATGACGTCTATCAGATGTTGGATTTTGGTTGCTGTACCTGACGACTAAAATAAACTTTAGATTTTGATCCCTTTCCAACGCAACCTAAAATCAACCCAATTTTTACATAATTTGATGTTGTTATTGGACATCAAAATAACGTTGTCCTTAGACGCTGGATAGACATGGAATTTTGGTGACCTGACGTCATGTCCTAAATCTAACCTAATATTAACATCTCATAATGCTGTGTGCCTACTGGGACTATACCTGAAGCCGAACTTGTCCATGGAGACGGAGAGGTGGCGCGGCTGACTGGAGCACCCATAGGTGTTGCGATCGTCCATAGGGATGATGTCTACATCACTGAAGATGAAACAATCATAGTCGTACTCCTTCAGCGCCTCTGCGTAACCCACATTGAGCAGTTTGGCCCTGTTGAATGTGTTCTCTCCATCCTAAACAGGCAGCATATAATGAAGAATAGATGTCACGTACTATAAAAACACTTCACACAATTTCTTCATGCTGTCCCAACACAAATCGATTAAGTTCATTATTTTTATGCACACTTAAAAAATGACTTTTGCTGCTTGTTCAAACTACTTATTTAAAATGAGTTGAAACAACACAATTCTTAAGGTTTTTTTTGAACAACTTACTTGTTTTATGTTTAATCCACTTAAATTTGTAAAAACAAGTTAACTTAACAGATTTGTGTTGTGAAAGCAGGAAGGGATTGTGTGGAACCCTGCATTTTTTACAACGCATTACCAGTGGATTAAGTTGGCCCCAAAGAACTTACAAATTGTGTGGTTTCAACTCAAAAATTGTGTGCAATCACAAAGTAATTCAGCAAGTGCTTAACCTAACTGTGTGTGACATGCATGAACTCATTCATTAATCTTCCTTCAGTTTAGTCCCTTATTTACCCCAGCGGAATGAACCACCAACTATTCTAGTGTATGTTTTACACAGCGGATGCCTTTCCAGCTGCAACCCCCATACACTCTCAATCACACTCAAACATCACAGTCAGTTTAGCTCGTTCAATTCACCTGTACCACATGTCTTTGGACTGTGGGGGAAACCGAACACCCGGAGGAAACCCATGTCAACACGGGGAGAACATGCAAACTCCACACAGAAATGCAAGCTGACCCAGCCAGGACTCAAACCAGCAACCTTCTTGCTGTGAGGCGACAGTGCCCACCACTGAGCCACCGTGCCACTCAGCATGTGTTTTTATCCAGCCGTACGTCACTGTTAGTTTTTGTGTTGGTTCAGGTGGACAATAAAGTAAAACAAACAAATTGCAAGAGAAAAAAAATGTTGAAATTGAAACAAGCTCCTACAAGGAACACCTTTCTTTTAGGTAGGAATGTAAAAGATTACATAATAAAAGTGCATATATCAGTCCAAAATGATCACTAATGCCTTACAAATTAAAGACAAAAGGTAAAATGTGCAGCCTCACAACTTGATCTATTGGGCTGCCGGATTAATAATGTCAATTCACAACATTATATTTGGATCTGCCCATATTGTGTCATATTTCTTTGTATAAACAATGAACGTTTCTACCACGTGCTATCACATGTCTGCTGAGTCATGATGACAAAACAAAATGCAGATATGGTGCAAGATATTAATTTAGCAGGTTTAGTCATAATTTCAAGCACTTTTAACCTACTTAAGACTAACATCGATTTAAATGTGATTTATTATTTGTTGCTAACATTTTATTTGTGACTATTAATAGTATTCTGACAAAAATATTGTCCCTTAAATGTAAAGGTTTATTTAATTTCGCTGATTCTGTTTAACATTGATGAGGATGTAATAACCACAACTAAATCAGTCAATCAGACATGCATGCATTGATAAACAAATGCAGGCAAAAGCGCTAAGGAAAAAAACTTCCTCCATCTCAGTTTTCACGGCAGTTTGCATGCTGATTTTCCTGTGAACAAGGTGAACAGAGCGTGAAAAGAAAAAAAAAAAACAGGTCAAGGAAAACAAAAAAAGATTCAATACTGGATCATGTATTAGGTGGAAAGTTCAAATAAAACTGTTTGACTGATACTTAAATCTCTTTTCCATTTAGTCTAGTATTTTTTTCTAAGAGCATTTTTGGAATCTAGGTATAAAACAAAACAAAACAAAACAAAACAAAAGTAAAAATAAATAAATAAATAAATAAATAAATAAATAAGCAAAATAAGTAAAATAAGTATAAAATAAAATGTAAAATAAAATAAATAAAAGTAAATAAAGTAAAATAAAATAAAATAAAAATTAATACATAAAATATAAATTAAAATAAAACAGATAAAAATTAAAATATAGGTACAAAATAAAATAATTGTTAAGAATAAAATAAAATAAATGAAAAATAAAATAAAACAGATAAAAATAAAACGTAAGTATCAAATAAATGAATAAAATATAAAATAAAACAAACATAAAATCAAATAAATGAATAAAATGAAATAAAATATTATAAATAATGAAATAAAGTAAAAAAAAATTAAAATAAATTAAAAATAAAACTAGAATTGTAATGATTTCTTTTGCATTAAATATTTACAGATTTGTCTCAGCCATTTGAACCACACTCTACAACAGTGTGAATTATTAAAACTAATGGACACTCAAACAAGTGTGGTTTTGAATGAATCTCAATGGCAGTTACATTTGAGCTCATGTTAAAGGGATATTTCAGCCAAAACTGAACATTCTGTTATTATTTACTCTCCCTTCCCCTCCCTTCACTACACTTCACTCCAGTCACAAACCTGCTTGAGTTTCTTTCTATTGTCGAACGCAAAAGAAGATATTTTGAAGAAAGCTGAAAAACCTGTAACCATTGACTTTCATATGCTTTTTGTACAATTTTAACATTCTTCAAAATAAAAGAAGCTCATGAAGGTTTGGAACCCCCTGAGGGATAAAATAAATAGTGAACTTTCCCTTCAAGAATTATTGACGCAAGCAGCTCTTATAATGAACAAATACTCCAGATTCCAGATTGCATTTTTAACATTGCAGTCAGCAACACAATATCCCAAATTAGGTCATAATATGCACTTTTAAATGCATAAAAGTGTCCACACACCTGATCAAACAGAGAGAAACAGGTGTTATTAGTCCCTTTTTGGGGGTTTTCAGACTACAGTTTTGTTTCTTTGTTGTTATTGCACAAGAAGTTTCAAAGAAGTCACACCAAGCATGCTGACTATGCAAAGCCAAGTACATGCATTTCCATACTTCAAGGTGAACATCTCCTGAAAAAAGCCAACACACAGTAGTATGAACACTATATATCTATCTGTCTGTTCATCCGTCTATCTATCTATCTATCTATCTATCTATCTATCTATCTATCTATCTATCTATCTATCTATCTATCTATCTATCTATCTATCTATCTATCTATCTATCCATCCATCCATCCATCCATCCATCCATCCATCCATCCATCCATCTATCCATTAATCCATCCATTAATCCATCCATCCATCCATCCATCCATCCATCCATCCAACCAACCAACCAACCAACTCATCCAGCTTATGTTTTACAAAGCGGATGCCCTTCCAGCTGCAACCCAGTACTGGGAAACACCCATACACAATCATTCGCATACATACACTACAGGCAATTTAGTTTATTCAATTCACCTATACCACATATCTTTGGACTGTGGGGGAAACCGAAGCACCTGGAAGAAACCCACATCTACATGGGGAAAACATGCAAACTCCACACAGAAATGCCAAAAGAAATTGACAATTTGAAATTTCAAAGGTTGTCAAGAACTTCTTTACAACGAAATGTGGAAATTTTCCTTCAGGACCTTATGTTTTTTCTACTTTTACAGTTTAAATGCATCTAAGAGGCTATTTTACATCTTTTACACCCTGAAACTGTTACAGCATCTAAATAATATGTAGTAGGGCTGCACGATATTGAAAAGGTTTAACATTGCAATATTTTATTCATTCATTGATATATATTGCAATACAAAAACAATTTCACTAGATGAGTTAAATATCATCTATTTGGAAAGATAATTTAATAATCATGATAATAGCATGTTAACCTGGGATTCCCAACCCTGTTTAATTACTCTACCTGAGTATCTGACTAATTTATTTAAGCTTGCAGTTTGTTTCACTCCAATAAAAGACTATAACTATTCAATAATAAAAAGAGCTATTCAAAATTGTATTAATAATCACTATATATATATATATATATATATATATATATATATATATATATATATTGCAGAAAAATAAAATATTGCAATGTCATATTTTTCCAATATTGTGCAGCCCTACATTACAATATTGATGGTGAAACGATATTGTGCAGCCCGAGTAGAAATAAATAACAAGTGAGTTTCTGTACCTGTTCTATGATATAAATCCCATAATCCAGCAGCTGTCTCTTTAAGATAGGGTGAAGGTAGTAGAGCCAGTATTTGAGGTGTTCTTCTCTGTTTCTGTATGGGATGATTATCGCCACTTTTTGCAGAGCCACACATTTGGTGGGTGTATACCTGCCGCCCATCGTCAGATGCTTATTGCCTTGACGCACCAAATTAAAATCCACCGGGGTCGAAAATTCAACTCGCAGTTGACCCACTGAAAGAGAAATGAGGAGAAAGAGCATGACAGTGATGCATGTACTGTTTATACAAAAGAAAGAGGAAGATACCGCTTATGCAACATCTTTTTACTTCTTTTTTCAAACTAGCCAGCTTCCTTTACATTCCCTCCTTTGCCCCTTTTAGTCTTTACATTTTTTTTTGTCTTTTCACTGGTCTGAGTGTTGCAGAAACTGCCGACCTGATGGGATTTTCATGCACAACCATCTTTAGGTTTTACAAAGAATGGTCCGAAAAAGAAAAAAATATCCAGTGAGCGGCAGTTCTGTGGGGTCAGAGGAGAATGGCCAGACTGATTCGAGCTAATAGAAAGGCAACAGTAACTCAAATAACCACTCGTCACAACCGAGGAATGAAGAAGAGCATCTCTAAACTCACAACACGTCCAACCTTGAGGTGGATGGGCTACCGTAGCAGAAGACCACTATAATCCAGTGCCCTGCTGAATCTATGCCACAAAGGATTAAGGTTCGGAAGCCAAAAGGGGGTCCAACCAGGTACTAGGAAGGTGTACCTAATAAAGTGGCCAGTTAGTATTTAACAATCTGACTTTTTTTCAAGAAAAAAATTCCAAAATATTAGGTGTGTATCAGTGGATCAATTGCAAAAATATCACCTTCAACATCCTGTAGAGACGCTTGCACTGTGTTTGCAAACTTAATGAACAGGATTAGATGTGATGTTTGTCAATCTGACAGTCACTGCTGATGTTTTCATAATGCAACTTTATTTATACTTTATGTATTGCTTAAAGAGACAGCTCATCCACAAAATCAAAATATACAGATCATTTATACACCCTTAAACATGTTTACTTCTTATGTTGAAACAGTGAGCAAAGGTAATTCAACTTCTATTACAAACTTACAGGTTAAATATGGGGTTAGTAAATAGAAATGAAAGATGTGCATCAAGCAATTTAAGAGAGAGGCTTTTAAAAATGACATTTAGACTCAAAAATGATATGCTTTCTGAATGTTTTAACCAACCCAGGCTCATTCTGAAATACATACCAATTTATACATTTCTGGAGAGCGCCAAATAAATCCCAGGAGGTGTGTTTTTTTAGCAGTTTTTGTTTTCATGAATTCACCAGATGTATGCTTTTTCAGATATCAAATTTTTAAACCCAACCAATAGTGTTTTCAAAAGCCCATTTTGCCCATTTTCAGATTTAACCACATTCTCACCCTGTTATTTACTTCTTCATTATATTTAATGGCTTCTGCTTTTATACCCACTTTCTAAAACCATTATTCGTCAGACTTGAACCCCGTCATTGTGGTCAACTCCTCTCTGCAACTCAGGTTCGCCGACAGACATAGCGAGCTAATGGACAAACTGTTAACAGCGGGAAAGCCATCCATAAGGTGGTAAGCGCAAAAAGGAATGGCGTCATACCACCATGTAGTAGAGCTGCACAACTCTGGCTAAAATGAGAATCAGGATTTTTGCTTAAAATAAAGATCATGATTTTCTCACGATTCTATAGATGTAAAATAAAGGTTAAGTGATGACATCAGAATACAACTCTTCAAAATTCTAAAGTTGAATTATTGTGTTTGAGACAAATGTTTGCAATCTGTCATTGACAACATTATTTTCACTTGTAAAATGAGACATTTGTCATTATCAGATTTCATTGCATTATATTCAACATTATATACAGTAGGCTAGAGTAGTTATACTGACACTGTTATACACTTATTCTCATGTACAACACTCTGTGTTTGCTATGAAAGAAAAACATATTAAATGCTTGTCATGATCATAACTTTATAATGTTTACTCAGTTATGATTATTTAAATGATGTGCACGCTTTCGGTTTAATTTTCTCTTCTAAGAGCGGTTAATACTTCCCACGTGGTTCCCAACCGATCACTCTGTGTGACAAACTGAGTGTTATTTACAACTTTATTACCTGTTATTCACAGCCTATGCAGGTTCTGTTTACTACAGTAGACTTCATTCAGAGGCGCGCACCCGCCCTCTCTGTGGTGACAGCTGACAGTCAGCTCATGTCACGTGTAATTTCGCGGCCGTGAATACATCATTACATGAAGACAGAAATAGCATTTTTGAGAGAATTATACCTTATAAATACAGTATGTGACTCTTTAAAGGGCACCTAGGTTACCCCTTTTTTCAGATTTAATACAAGTCTTTTGCGTCTCTAGAATGTGTATATAAAGTTTCAGATCAAAATACCCATCAGATTTTTCATTATACCTTTTACAAGATGCTGTTTTATACTGATTTCCAGCAGGGGGTGGTTTTGTCGTACTGCGCCTTTAAGACGAGTCTTTCCCGTCCACTATTTCTACATGCCTCCTCCCTCAGCTGCGTCAGACAACAGACAGACTTAAAGGAAGAAGGTCTCACGTAGCGTTTGTGAGATACAACAGTAAGAACTAACCTTTACTAATCAGTATTGTGAAGTTGCATTGATGAGTCACACACAATATTGTTACAAAGTTAACGCACACACACACACACACACACAGATACACAAGCACACACAGGCAGGCAGGCAAGCAGACAGAGCGCACTTAGCTTAGTTAAGGCTAACCTCAAGTACTGTGTGGATATCTGTTATGCTAATGTACAAAATAAACCTGATTTAACTTCCACAAACCGGGATTAAAGCGTCTTCTTTTATAATTGTTCTGACACGCGGCTGTGCTAATGAAGTAAAGCTGAAGTAAAACGCTGTAATTAATTACACACATACTCTGTTTTAAAACACTTTAAACATGTGACACTTACTCTTAATCACATTTGATGATAATTGCTGATCCTAGCGAACAGAACAGAGCTTTTATTCCCGGTTGCTTTGCGTATGTCTGCCTGGTCTTGTTGACATATACACGTGACTACCGGAACATGTTAATGCGCGCAGCTGTCAATCAATTCGGTGGGCGGGGGGGATCGCACACCTACGTAATGGTGCAATCGATTTGAAAACAGCTCCAATTGGCCGACCCTTTTTTTTTTGTAGTTAAATTGAAAAAAAAGGACTGGGTGTGTTCATATCACCCCAGTATGATGGTCAATACACTATACCAACACACAGATCTGTCCAAACAGCTTGAAAAGTAGATTTTTTACCATAGGTGCCCTTTAAACACCATTTGGAGGTGTCTAGCTAGACTTGGGTGGCCGCCTATGCTTCTCTCCTGAACTTGAAAATATGATTAGCAGAATCATAGAAATGCTGGATTAAGATCGTCTAGGGGGTTGAATCGAGATTGTGATCTTTTAACAATTAATCGTGCAGCTCTATCCCGTAGCGTTCGTTTTAAAGACGAAATTCTTGCAACTTAATCACAATTTTCGTAAATATATATATATAGAGCTTCGTTTTCAGAATGAGCCTTTGTTGGTTTTAACAATCGATCAACACATTCTGAATGTTCACCCAAAAATGAAAATTCATCATTTACTTACCCATTACTTGTTTCAAACCTGCTTGAGTTTCTTTCTTCTAATAAACATGAAATAAGATATTCTGAAGAAATCTGCAGACCAGTATTAAGCAGTTACAGGTTTTAAATTTCTTCAAAATATCTTCTTTGTGTTCAACAGAAGCAGTGGTGTAAAGTAACAAATTACAAATACTCAGACTACTGTAAATGAGTAGTTATTTTTTCAGAAATTGTAACTTACTAAGTAGTTTTAAAATTGTGTACTTTTACTCTACCTTTACATTTTTAGTGCAGTATTGGTACTTTTACTCCTCTACTTTCCTTCTCCCTGCAGTCACTATTTTATTTTTTCTTGTCTATGGGGATTAGAAAAATCAGTCTTGTGATTCCTGTCCAATCAAATCACACATAGAAGGTAAATCGCATCATACTGAACTACCTCAAGACATGGTCGACTTATAATCATAATTGCAGCAAACTGTTTGGAAGCATTAAAAGTGTCCAAGAAGATGTCCAAAATCTTTGCACACATTGACCAAGAGACTGTTTAGATGCACGTAACTGATGAGAGGATGATGGATGTTTATGGTATAATGACCTAAATAGCCCAAGGCACAAGACGTCAACATGATGTCAGATTGACGTTGTACCCCAACGCTGTGGAGACATTGCATTTTGTTAGAAATAAAAATGGAGTTGACGTCAGAAATCAACGCCAGGCCGACATCAATGTCCAACGTTCAACATAAAATCAACGTCTAATGATGTTACAGCTTGACGTTGTGTTGACGTTACCACTAAAACATCTATCATACTTAGATTTTGGTTGCTATACCTGAAGATCCAATGTCGGTATTTGAAGCTGTTGGCTCGACTTTGGATTTTAGACAGTCAATAGTTGATACTGGACATTAAAATAACGTTATCCTTAGATGCTGACTAGACATTGGATTTTGGTCAACTGACATCACAACCTAAATCTAAACAAATATCAACGTCTTATGACGTGTGACTGCTGGGCAATAACTAAATGCTCTACAGAACCTTCACACAAATCCACAAATTACATGTAAACACATTAGCTTTTCACAGTTTAATACTCACTGCTCACTACTCTTGAATACTTTTGAAAGGTCTACTTTTTACTCATATTTTAAATACTAACAGATACTTTTACTCTACTTGCACTACATTTTTAGGCAAGTAATGGTACTTTTACTCAAGTATGATTTTTCAGTACTCTTTCCACCATTGGACAAAAGAAAGGAACTCAAGGTTGGGAGCCATTTGAGGGGTATTTTTTATTTTTGCGTGAACTACCCCTTCATACTCCATATCAGAAAAAAAATACTACATCACAGAACAAAAACTTTCAGTTTTGATTTAACATAACTTACCTAAAAGTGGCGACGTTTCAGGACACGACTCCAGTACTTCTGCAGGTTTCTCTACGTCACCAATAATGACAGTCTCGTTATTATAGATACGTTTATATACAGCTACGTCAAGTGTTTCATTGTTAGTCTGTCCCAATTCTCCGTGAGTTTGTGAATTAACCATATCAGAGATAAATGAAATGTGTCGATAATTCCTAAATTTAGCTAAAGGCGACTCTGATAAATAGAAAATCAGTGCCACGATGAGGTGAAGCCCGCAGAGCAGCACGAGCACGACGCATGCTTTAGTGAAGAATCCCACCGACTCCGACATTCTCGCAAAACTACAGAGACCGCTTCATTCACGAGGAATAAAAAGTCCTAAAACTAAAGCACATCTGTCCGTTCCTTCATGGGATGACCAGCGTAGTCCCTTTAGAAAGTTTTTGTGATAGCGATCGCGTCCGTCCACGTCCAGTTTTTCCGGCATTGATGAAGATCAGTCTTGAAGAGCGAGATCCTCTGAAGTGACAGCAGTGGGCGTTTACTGTGTGCACTTGTAAACTACTTGTAGAGGAAGGCTGGGAAACAAGTGTGAAAGCTCAACCTCCAAGAAACCCTCCCAACATAATAAATGTATAAAGATGTTTATTAAGATTTCAATTATTTGATTCAGAGTACAATTAAAAACAATACTGTGATTTTATTTATTTAATTATTTATTTATTTTTATTATTGTAATAATACTTAGGTCTATATTGTAGGCAGCAGGCTATATATATATATATATATATATATATATATATATATATACATACACACACACACACACACACACACACACACACACACACACACACACACACACACACACACATACATACATACATACATACATATACATATATATACATACATATATATATATATATATATATATATATATATATATATATATATATATATATATATATATATATATATATATATATACACCTTGGTGTCAAAACTGAATTTCCAGCATTATTATCCTAGTCTTCAGTGTTTGATTATTATTATTATTATTATTAATTTGAAAAGCGTTGATGCTTCATATTTCTTTCTTAAAACTATTACATGTTATGCCATTTAAAGATACAAACTTTTATTCATAAAGGACTAAGGTGATCAAGAGTGAATTTAAAATATTTCATAGCATACAGTGTTCAGCATAATTGTGTACACCCCATTTTGAAGATGAATACTTTCATCCAGATCTCAATGAATATGTATTTTGGTGCATTTAAACAAAAGATTTATTAACCATATAAGTAATAAAACACTCTATTAAAATAGTTGGGTCAAAAATACCCCAACATATAACCCAACTATGTTATTATAGCATCTTCCATTAGTACAGCCCTCACAAATCTATCATTTAATTATTATTTTAATAGAAAGCTATATAATATTATATGTGTGCATATACAGTACATTAGATTAGTCAGTACTTCAGTGTTAATTTTGACAGCGAATTTTGATTAGTCTTAGTCTTCTGAATCATTTTACAGTTAGTCTAATTCTAGTCGTCTAAACTTCATAATATTTTAGTCGACTAAATCTACTTAAGATTTAGGGGAGGTTGTGGGTGAAATTACAGGAGTTAAGAAATAACAAAACGAGAGGGTGGCGGGAGATGGGTCTGAAATACAGGAAACTCCTAGGTCTCCCGGGAGTGCTGGCAGGTATAAGGTGTTAAATCATATAGAGGAATTTTAAAGATAAGATTTACACAATAAATAAAAGTGAGCTTGATCACTTCAAGGCAGTTTCGTTATGTTGTATGCAGCATAAATTACATCAATATGTTGCATTTGTCTTGACATTAAATGTGAATCTGCTTTTTCTTTCAGCTGCTGCCATTTCATTCATTCATTCATTCATTCATTCATTCATTCATTCATTCATTCATTTTCTTTTCGGCTTAGTCCCTTATTTATCAGGTGTCACCACAGCGGAATAAGCTACCAACTAATCCAGAATATGCTTTAAGCAGCAGATCCCCTTCCAACTGCAACAGATCACTGGGAAACACCCATACACTTTCATTCACACACAAACATTACAGACAGTTTAGCTTACCCAATTACTCTATAGTCCATATGTTTGGACTTGTGGGGGAAACCAGAGCACCCGGAGCCAATTTTTCAAAAAACGTCCCTCAATCACATTCTCGTCTTGTTTTTATTAGTCAACGAAAATGTCAGTATATTTTTATTATAGTTGTCATCATCATCCCTTCATTTCTATTTAGTTTTCATCTAGTTTTTGTCAGTAGAAACTTGTTTGTCACGAAAATCATTTTTCGATCAATTTTTTTCTGTACGAAATTAACACTGCAGTGCTAAAGCCAAATCTGGAGCTCGTCCAACAAAATAACTTACGATAACGGTCAAATAACTAGTACAGCCAAATTTATATGTTATATAAAAAATATCAAATACAAATTTAAATAAAGAGGACAATTCAAGAGAAGCAAAAAAGTTTTGAAATTTTGTTGAAATTTTGAAGGTTGTAATTTTATTTAGCAACATTTAGCTTGATTTTAACTGTATTATCTTTCAATTTCTAAAGATGTTTGGTGACTAAAATACAATTTTAATAAATATTTCTGTTTAATAAAACTGTTTTGCTTAAATGCATCAAAATACATTGCCTATATTCACTGAGGAATGAATAAAAATATTAATTTTCAAAATGGAGTGTACTCAATTATGCTGAGCACTGTACATCTTTCTAATTCAAAGCAAAATGACTCAAAAATGCTTTTAGTGTAAAAGTATTTAATTTAGAGCAAAAAGACCACCTTAACATGAATTTACCTGGGTAAGAACCCAAACCCACTTTACGCAATGGGACTTAGGAACTGAGTTTGTCACCCCTGCTCTAAACCAGACTAAAACCTGCTCCAGAGCAAATTAGTCACGTAGTGTAAATTATCTTGGTGACAAAACCTGATTAAAACCAAACAAAACATGTCTAGGTTTCCTATTGTATCTGCAGGTAGTGAATACGCTCTGTTCATTTTTCTACAAAATTTTTAGTTTACTTTGTATATTGTTTACTTTTATCAAATGCATCGGTTATCAACTCCAGCTCTTACAATAAGCTCAATCAGCTAGTTCACCTCCCAGTCCTCCCTCAGGGTGAGCAGCATGCCATTGAGAACTTTGTTTAGGAATGTTGTGGTCACAAAGTAGAGGCTAATGATATAGCACGCAATGGCTTTTTTTGTTTTGGTTTGGTTTGAAGGAACAAAGTAACTAGTACACCTCACTAAACCCCTCATTACGTTCAGTATGTCAACTTGTCGTTGCTGTTGAGTGGTTATATTTTCACTGCGTGTGAATTGTATGTGAAAACCCTGCGCTGCCACTACTTTATAATACAGTGCATCCAGAAAGTATTTATAGCGCTTCACTTTTTCTGGAATTTTTTACGTTCCAGCCTTATGCCAGAATGGATTAAATTCATTTATTTACTAAAAATTGTACACCCAATATCCCATAATGACGATGTGAAAAAAGATCTTTTGATATTGTTGCAAATTTACTGAAAATAAAAAAACCCTGAAAAATCACATGTACATCAGTATTCACAGCCTTTGCCTTGAAGCTCTAAATTGAGCTCAGGTACATTCTGTTTCCACTGATCATTCTTGAGATGTTCTAGCAGCTTAAATGAAGTTCGCCTCTGGTAAATTTAGATGAATACACATGATTTGAATAGGCATACACCTGTCTTTATAATGTCCCAGCGTAACTGTGCATGTCAAGCACAAACCAAGCATGAAAACAAAGGAATTGTCTGTAGACCTCCGAGACAGGATTGTCTCGAGGCACAAGGCTGGAAATTTACAAAAAAAAATTTCTGCTGCTCTGAAAGTGGAACTGGAAGATGTTCGGAATCACCAGGACTCGTCCTAGAGCTGGCCGGCCATCTAAGCTGAGTGACTGGTGTAGAAGGGTCTTAGTCAGGGAGGTGACCAATTACTCGATGGTCACTCTATCTGAGCTCCAGCGTACTTCTGTGGAGAAAGGAGAACCCTACATAAGGATTTGTGCAATCCACTAATCAGGCCTGTATGGTAGAGAGGCTAGATGGAAGCCACTCATCGCTAGGAATTTGTCAAAAGGCATCTGAAGGATTCTCAGACCATAAGAAACAAAATTCTTTGGTCTGATGAGACTAAAAATGCCAGGTGCTACATTTGGAGAAAACCAGGCACCGCTCATCACCAGGCTAATACCATCCCTACAGTGAAGCATGGTGGTGGCAGCATCCTGCTGTGGGGATGTTTTTCAGCTGCAGGAACTGGAAGACTAGTCAGGATAGAGGGAAAGATGAATGCAGCAATGTACAGAGACATCCTAAATGAAAGCCTACTTCAGAGTGCTCTTGACCTCAGACTGAGGCGATGGTTCATATTCCAGCAGGACAATGACCCAAAGCACACTGCCAAAATATCATCGTAGTGGCTTGACAACAACCCGGTGAATGTCCTTGAATGGCTCAGCCAGAGTCCACACCTAAATCCTGTTGAACATCTCTGGAGAGATCTGAAAATGGCTGTACACTGTCGCTTCCCATCCAACCTGATAGAGCTTGAGAGGTATTGCAAAGAGGAATGGACAAAAATTCCCAAAGACTGGTGTGCTAAGCTTGTGGTATCATATTCAAAAAGACTTGAGGCTGTAATTGCTGCCAAAGGTGCATCAACAGAGTATTGAGCAAAGGCTGTGAATACTTACTGTACATGCGATTTTTCAGGTTTTTTATTTTTAATAAATCTGCAACAATTTAAATAAATCTTTTTTCATATTGTCATTATGGGGTATTGTGTGTAGAATTTTGAGGAAATAAATTAATTAAATCCATTTTGGAATAAGGCTGTAACATAAAAAAATGTGGAAAAAGTAAAGCGCTATAAATACTTTCTGGATGCACTGTGTATTAAACTCACTGCTCTAATATAGTCCATGTTCATGGCCATCCACAATCCAGGCCTCCTCTTGTTCCATGGTCACTGTCCAATCTTTCATTGCTCCACAGATCGCTGCAAACAAACCAAATACTGGACATTACTAAGTCACTAATTACTAAGACAACGTGAGATCATACCAACACTAACAACATTCCTCACCATTTACTCACATTGGGCTGGTTTTATTTAACTTAATTAAATATTTATTTGTTTGTTTTTTGTTTGTTTGTTTATTCATTCATTCATTCATTCATTCATTCATTCATTTATCTATTTATTATTTTTTTTGGAAGAGAGTGTTTTGTATATGTTTATGTTTTATGTCTTTATGTGCATTTGTTGTTGTCACTAAGTGAATTTTTTTGTGTGGCACTGTTATGAAATGAGGACTCTTGACTGAAAACTAAATCTGCCATTGGGTATAAATAAAGTAACATAAACTAACCTAACCTAACCTAACCTAACCTAACATAACCT